AGAGGCTAAATGAAGGAGCGTTTATCAGTACATTTTGCTTGTAGTGGCTTGTCGACGTCAGTAATGTTTTGTTAAATGCCTTTTTTCATTATTGCATGCTGGATGCTTGGAGTTGTGATTTTTCCTGCCATTGCATATGCTGTTAAGGATTAAGACACTTAAAAACCACTTGATTATTTGTGATTAGCCCATATGCTAGTTGAAAGATTGCCTTGAAACAGTGTGCATTAAGCCAAAGGCCTCAGTTTTGGCATGGAAATTGAGCATTGCACTGACAAGCTTTGTTTTGTAACTTTGTCTTTGTAAGTGTTTTCATGGTTCAGCCGACACAAAAAAAAATCAGACGCTTGTATAAATACTCAATCTTGAACATAATCTAGTTAATGAATGAATAACCACCTTGTTTTGTATGACCACGAACAGTAAAAAAAATCATGATTGAAGATGTTTTCTTTCTTTTGGCTTTCATAATTTAGGATTACATGTTTTCTGCTGCTCACCATTAACACGCCTTTTAACCTAGTCACCTGGTGGCATTAGGCTACAGCCCAAAGACCCAACTATGGCGAGTAGGCTACAGAGTTTTGCCTTAGCTGCACCCATTTGTACATTCTCTGCATGTGGAGAGCCTTCGCCCAAAATTAAGAGAAATATTTGATATTTTATTCACAGCTGTTGTGTTGGTTTGCTGTGTAACCACTGAATCCAGGCAGAGTGCTCAGTGCTTTTTAACATGGTAGCTGCATTCCTTACACAGCATCACATGTTGACATTGTGGTGCGTCAAAACACCTCTGGTGTCTATGGATACAAATAGATGTCCATTGTGATGCCTCACTGCAGCTTAAACTACAAGTTTCTCAGTCCATGCACCTCTTAAAGAAAAGTGCCTTATTCAGTTAATATCCATATAAAGTTGGAGTTGGTATGCCACACCTATTAAATACCAATGGGACTCAGCACTTTCAGACCCCTGTGAAGTGGTTTTCTGTGTTGTATTCTACGTAAATGTCAGTTCTGTCACGCTTAGCCTTATCATCTTGATCAATCCCACAGAACATTTGCTAGTGAAAAGCTTGTCCAGGCAAATACCAGGCTGCTTTTGTTTGAAAGGTTTGTTTATTTGTTAGGAGTATCTTGTGCTTATTCTTGGAATTTCTGTAGCATTTAGTGTCTACATTTTGACCAATCATGCAAAATAATTATTGGTGTTTTAAATGCTGCTGAAATGAGTATAACCAGCTAGGGAATGACATAGTTTTCAACTACATGAACCCTGGGTGTAGCCTGGACATCTTCTCACCAGCACATTGTTATAAAAAATAACTTACCAGTGATGTTGTAACCACAGTCCCAGACCTCTGGTGGTGGTGTTGTGACATTTCCTCCACAATGCAAAGTCATATGATGACTTCCACTTTGGTTGTAATTTTCAATTATTGCATTGAATGATCTGTTTTCTGTCCAGTAGGATTTTAAATTCAAAATCAAAATTTGCTTTGTCATGGAGGGCTCTCCTGTCAGTTTTCAGCATCGCAGTGTTCCAAACCAACGAGTAAAAAAGCTTTTTGATTCCCTCCTTCGCCACATGGCGATATTGCTATGTGCACACACTGTAGTGCCATATGTGTTACGTTTTGTGTTAGAGGCCATCAATCTTGTAGGTACGATTTGTTTTTGGGGTTTTTTGTTTTGCTCCCACCCCACTTTGAAAGACACAACTATTCACGCACAGCCATATGTAGAAACTTGCAGGTGCCACTATGCCTCCTGAAATGTTTTGTGCTTATGTGCCCTTTTTCTTTTCTCTCAAACCTTTTTTATTTTGTGCCTTGGTTTCTAGTGCTGCCTTTAGTTTCACAATGTAAAACCAATAAAGTTTGAATATTGTCAAAACAAATCACTGTATTTACCCTCATTTAACATCTGGATTTGGCAATATATTTCTAGTTGTGTTTTGATACCATTTGGACTGAGCCAGGCTAGAGGTTTCCAGACTTTATGCTAAGCTAAGCTAACTGGTTGCTGGCGGTAGCTTGAAATTTACTGAGCAGACAGTCGTATCTCATCTAAGTCTCGGCAAGAAAGCAGATAAGGAAGATTTCCCTAAATTTCCCAAACTATTCATGGTAAATGGTCTATATAGTGCTTTTCTAGTCTTTGTGACCACTCGAAGCTCTTTACACCACATTCACACACTGATGCAGAGGCTATAACAATTTGGGGTTCACTGTCTTCACTTTGACATGCCATAGCGCTCACACAGCATTCATGTAAACTCTGTCTTGATTGTGGTCAATATACTTTCTATAGAGAAAAGCACTGATACTTCACAGGCAAAATCAGATTCTTATTGATACCCCGCTTGTACAACATTTTGATGTTATACATGCTGGATCCATCCCACCCCATCAATGCCCTCCATCTCCAATCTCTACTTGGTAATCAAGAGTAGTGGTTCCCAACCTTGGGTTTGGGACCCTCCACAGGCTCCCAAGATAAATCTGAGGGGTCATCAGATCATTGAAGGGAAGGGAAAGAAAAAACTATATTTTTGTTACATGTAATCATATTTGGGATAGAAACTTAATACTCTTATTTCTTCAGGCCTCTAAAAATCCCTAAAATAAAACAATCCTAGAAGTAACTGCACACAATAAGGCCATAACTGCTTCATTTTTAGGGGTCACAAGCCCAAAAAGGTTGTGAACCACTGCTCTACCTATACAATAGTTTAATGTTTTTGGTGACATTAGTGTCACCTTTGGCCATACACAAACTAATGGGCTGACAAGCATCCACTATATGATTACAGCTTTTCCTGATGTCTACAATATACATTATATAATAAAGTTTAAGTGGGAAAACACTTGAACTGGTGCTCACCTAATTTGGTGATTAGTGTACACATCAGTATGATAGTAGTCAACATGTTTTTAATTAGGAAACGAGTACAAATTTTATTGCAGCCATGTGCAAACATTAATAAAACTGCCATTATTTGCTGGCATGTAAAACCAAAGAAACCACCTCTCTGTTCAGAACAACCTGTTTGTTTTTCACTGTGTTGCGCCTCTGACCGGACACACGCACAGTTTCCAAGGTCATAGCAAGGTTCTGCTTATGTAGCAAGAACTGTTAGCTCTAAAGGAAATGTTAGTGTGTATGTGTGTCTGTGTGCGAACACTCAAGAATCACGGTCTGTACAGTTGACTACATTCTTGAACGAGGTGTGTGCGTACAAAATGTGTTTGTGCTGAGCAGACTGTTATTCTTGCAGTGGCCCAGCAGTCCCCAGCTGGCACAGTTTCCCAGAAGCAAGGACACGAGATAATGTTTTTGGACAACCACTCCACAATGTCTCTCTTGTGTGTCCACTGAAAACAATCTGCAACCCTGTACTTAGCATGTGCTGTTACTAGACAGAGATAGAAATGCTTGTGCTGCTCTATCAAGAACATCTCTATGGGCCTTTCACTAAGAAGTGGAAAATCCTGCAGCCAGCTTTTCAACTTTTTAATTCAATTGACTGTAAGCACATATACTTATTCTTGTTTCAGTGTTACACTGTAGACATATCTGCTCATGATGATGGACTTGTAGCTGTTTGTAGGCAGTCCTTTCACACACCCACAATAAAATGCCTTACACAAACTCACATCTACCCAGCCCTTCTACATACACTGCTCTCTGAACACACCACTGCTATTCACACCAGACAAAAAGAGGGGTGTGCAGTCACACAGTATTCGAGCTACAGGGTCAGGAGAGTGGATGGAGGGGGGTGGATGTTGTAAGTGGGCATGGAGGGTCTTGACTTGCCTCAGCTAACCAGATTGCTGTGCCCAGTCATGCCCTGTAATCTAATATGGGGAAGCAGAGACAAACAATGCATTAGGTTTAGTCTCTCTCTTACACCAGCTCAGTCCATTTAACCATGCAGTGAACTCCAAGTCATGCCAAGAATACCAGGGGCTGAGCAATGTTAGCTAGATAATCAACTGAAAAGGCTGAATGCAGAGCAACAATAATGATCAGCTGTTTTTCTTCTCCTGTGACCCAGAAGCTCGGACAGGCCAGTTAGGGATGTTGCACTGTTTAAATTTTTGCTTTTATTTCAGCTGGTGGTACAGGGAGTGACAGAGATAATCTTTGAGGTCAAAAATGCTTCTTTTGTATGAAAAATGAGATGAGAAAATAAAAATGTTGACAAAGCCCCGATAATGAGGTGATAATGCAGGAATGTTATGAGGCAGCTTCACATGTGGTAATCCATCCCATAAAAGGTGGCTGACTCTAATAAACAAGAGAGCAAAAATCTAAAAGCCTCAGCCACGACAGAAATGTGAGCGGTCATCTGAACAGCCTGCAATTAAGGTGAGTAATAGCTTTCATAGTTGAATTTGAGATATCTGAGCTGTTTTGGCTGTGTCATAAAGTAGCCCCACTTGTGCACAGCGATACAAACCCATAGACCACATCAGTTTGTCTTGTGGTCAGGGCTACATTTACTCAGCTGTCCAGCCAGCAACTGTAGCAGAGTTCACAAAGCATTTGGTCCATCTCTGTCCATCTCAGTTCAAGACAGTAGGAGCCTGATGCTGCACAGAACACTGACATGTTATGTCTTATTATAAATGCAACTGTATAATGTGTAGGAGTGAAAGCCCTCACATTTGTAAAATAGACACAGGCTGAGCACTGCCACCAAGTGGTTCTCAGTGCAACATTCAAACAGTGGTGCTTAATTATATTTTAATTTTTTTAACACAAACGAACATATGCTTTAATTACTTTACACTTTAATTAATTGTTTAATGAAAAAACATTTGTGTTGGCACACAAGAATAAGCTTTATTAAAAAAAAAAAAAGTACTATTAAAAATAGATTACTCCAGCTTCATTTGGGATTAGATGTAAGGTCATGATTCATAAACTATACACACTTGAAGCACACAATGTGCAAGATTTCAGATTTTAAGTCACCCACTGCTTAATAGGTTTGATGAGTAACACAAAAACACTTTATTCCCTCTTTTTATTTGTTACTGAAAATGTCCCAGAGGCCATTTGATGAGAGGGGAAAGCAGGCTGCAAGAAACCAAAAGGGGGAGTCTTGTTGTTCAACCCAGCTGTAGTATCAAAGCCTGCGCACAGAATAGTCTTTCAGAGAACCTCATGTTTCCCAGGAGATGTCATCTTGTTTCAGGCTGTTTCTGAACTTCTGGGTCTCTCTGAGAAGCTGCAGGTTGTTGTGAGGGTCCCCACCTTTCTTTCCTTTCTGCTTAGCCTTAACAGGAGAAGGAACAGGTGGCTTGATCCCACTCAACTTCTTGGCTGTGTGTTCCTCAGAGCCTGGCTGGCTTTGGGTCAATTTATGGACCTGTGCAGGAGCCGAAGACACAAAACATTACAACACCTACCCTACCTAAACAATCAGTGATGGATATAAGCTGACACTACATACAGACACAGGACTTTCTGTTGGCATACAGATCTTTTATACATCTATAAAGTTCTTTAATGAGGTAAGAAATTGTGCTTTTGACCATCTTTACAAACGTTCCTCTGGATTGTTTTGAGCATCAAGTTCACATACCGTCTGCTGGTATTTGCGGAGTTTAGTGATCTGAGCACCCTTCTCCTCCATCCTGGACACCAACCTCTCCAGTTCTCTCTGCAGATCCTGCCTCTGTTCGCGTTGTTGGGTTGCATCTATCTGACCCACCAACTCCTGATGCTCACTGACAAAAACAAACAAACAAAAAAAACCACAGACACAGATTACTAAATGTGTAAAAGAAAAACAAAATCATTTTAAAATAAAAGCTTACTGACAAGCTCATTTGTCCTAACTCGTCCTGCAGAGCCAAGAGCAGGTCAGACAGCGAGCCCAATGACTGAGCTGCTTGTTCGCGTTCCCTGTCAGGCTTGTGAGAAGTGGTGCAAGATGGAGAAAAGTCCTTCTGGAGGCTTTTTTTGGCTCCACAACCAGACTTGTACAGAGAGCTCAGTCGTTCACACAGCTGGGGCTGATGGTGCTTCATCATGTGAAGTATACTTTGTATGTTGGCGTGGACTGAATGGCTTGGGCTTGTCGACTGTGACAGGTAGGAGAAATCAAAATCAATCAAAGGGATTTAAAAAAGGCAAAGGAGTTAATACTTGGTTTTTCAAATTAGTGCAGAGCACCAGACCTGACTTACCGTTCCTGCAACAAAGGGCATTTGTTTATGCCTTGGGCCGCTTGGTGATGCCAGCTCTTTCTGTCTGGACGTTTTCTGAGGTAGAAGACAGCTGTTATCACTATTATGTGCAAACAAATATTTTCCTCATCAACTAAATACAGGCAGTTAATTAGTTTCATCAGTAAGAAAAGCACCTTTGTGGTCTTTTTTGTTTTCTTCTTTGGCTTTATCTCTTCAGAAGATGGCAAAGACAATCGAAGGTTGATGTCCAACTCCTTCTGCAGCTTTGGACAGTAATAGCATGCTTAAAGATTCTTTGTTGGCATTTTACCATTATTAGACAATGAGTTTTATGTAACTCACTAGAGATCATTTAAAGGGAACTAAAAGTAATGGAATTTCTATATAATAATACAAAAATGTAAAAATCATTGCTTATTTTTCTGCATTTATCGTAAAATATGTGTATGTTGGGTAAGGATAATTAAAAAACAAAGTGAAAATGTGTATTCTTATGTGATTGTTGCTTCATAGAGCTGATCCAAAAAGTGAAGTGCACATGGACTCACCTCGTCTGCTTTCTCCTGCAAAAGTTTACGCTCATGCTCTTCTTTCAGTAGTTTTTGCTCCAGAATGGCAAGCTTAGTCTGAAAGCAAAATTGCTTTAAAAAAATCATCTCATCATTCAGCTTGTGAGGATTAGCATTAAGACTAATCAATTGGAAAACTGTGAATTACCTCTGCCCGAGTTTGGGTCTTGCTCAGTTTGAGACACTCTGATTCAAGCTTTTCCAGCTTCTCCTGCTGAAATTCGGTGTTTGAGCTGCTTGGCTGCGGGTTCTGCAGTGAAGCCTGGTGGGGAGGTAAACATTTATGTCACTTACAGTACATACAGAAACGCTTGGGTGTACTGGAACACAGATGACGAATGGGATTAGGATATAATCATTGCTTTTTATCTTTTTGGGAAAGAGTTCATTCAATTTTATTTAAAATATATCAAGCCTGTTTTCTAGACTACAGTTTCCATATATCATATTAGCCTTATAGTTAGGGTCTACTTTTAAAAGAAAAATTTGTAAATTAATTTTGTTTCTTTCAATTTGTAGCATTTTGGACTACCTGATTCTCCATGAGAGCAGTCCTCTCTTTCTTAGCGTTTTCAACCATCTTCCTCATGTAGTCCAGCTGCTTCTCAAGAACCTTACACCGAGCCTCTGCAGACTGCAGCTTTGAGTCCAGCTCTGTTATCATAAACACATCCAGAACTATTGAATAGCATCTACAGAAAATAACAGTGGCCTCTCCCTTTTGCACCCACCATCACTTACCTTTCCTTCCATTGTTATCTGTCTCAGGAAGGCTGGCTGCTGGTTGGCTGAGCACCCTGTAAGATGCTTCAACCTGTTCACGACTCTGACACGCATCATGGGAGAACTGCTGGTAGCTCTTCTCCGCTTGCTTCCTTTCCAGCTCCAACTTCCTGATTTTCTCCTGGAGGGTCTTCAGGGCATCAACAACAGCTAAAGAAGCGAGAAAACAGAAAAGCATAAAGTGGGCATAACAAAAACATTGTGTGAGACAAGAAGCTTGACATAACGGCTGTGCCATACCTCTGCTATCAATATTAGGTTTGGTCTGAGACATCCAAGGGCCAGTCATCTGTGGGTCTATGCTGATGGATGAGCGTGAGGAAAGCTCCAGCTGTGTTGACATTGGTAGAATCCGGTCTGGAGGCTGGTAATAGCTCCCAATGTAACTGTTTTTGGAGGGTGAGTCTAAAATCTACAGACATGAAGAGGAGGAGGTTGCTTGAAACTGTAAAGCTGATGATACACGGGGCAACTTTTTGAGCAATATTGCTGGGCAATCTCGCTGGTGGCAAGTCCGACTATGTTTTGAACGGATAGCGGCGGGGCGGGCCAGGTGACCGGAATGATGGGGGAAGGGCATTACGGTAGTAATCTTTACTCATTAACATTATCATCAGCTTTAGAAGACTGCAATTAATGATTATTTTCGTTAGCAATTAATTGCTTAAACTGATGATACACAGAGCAACGGTGCAGGGCAACATTGCCGTCAATGGTAATGATTACTAAATTACCGTAATCCCCTTCCAACTCCACAAACTCAAAACATAGTCGGACTTGCCACTAGCAAGATTGCCCAACAACATTGCTCAAAAAGTTGCCCCGCGTATCATCAGCTTTAGTCTATTAAATTAAAGACCATATTAATAAAATGCCCCTGCAAGATCACTATGGACTAACTAACTGATTAATCGGCCAATCGTTAAACACTGTACTATCCTTCAGTGCACAAGCAACAAGAAAGCTATTTTCCAAAGAAACCCACCTCCTGAATGACTCGAGGATTTTAAAATCACTAACGGTAACGTAGGGAAGCGAAAACTAACCGACTTATTTACGTTACAAACATTAAGACAAATTGTTTTCGTTTCGCAAATGCAGTAAGGAACGCCCTTTGCGACGGTCTTCGCGAAACTTAAACTAGAAAAACGTAACAACACCAACAGAAAAGCGTCTTCAGATAACAACAAAATAAACAACGCTAAAGCTAATGCGTTAGCCACATTCACAGCTAACGGCTGATTAGCGACTGTTACCTGATCGTAATGAGTCTCCATACTGCGGCACTAAAAAGGAATCATATGTTTGTATCTATTATTCCCGGACTGCTTGTATAAGTTGTGTAAATGATTATTTTGTAGTTAGGATAATCGATTTCTTCAAGAGACTCGGTTGTCCTGTCACCCCAGTCAGTCCGGACTTTTTAAATTTCCCTCCTCTTTACCGCCCTCATCACTAGTTCCGCCTGCTCACTGTTTTCTCCTCCACATCCCCACTGTGATCCAGACCTTTCACTGTAGTTCAAGATAAACTCGCATCTGATAAAATCAAAGTTTAGATTTAAGGGATATTTAATCAGGGAAAAGTACTCAAATTGCGCCTTCCACCTTTCTGCTTCTCCCTTAAAACAACCTAAGCCTACACCCACTCTAAACTGGGTTTAACAAGATATACATTTAGCTGACAATTTTATCCAAAGCGACTTACAATTACTATACATGTCAGAGGTCGCACGCCTCTGGAGCAAGGGATTAAGTCTTACTCAGGGACACAATGGTGGATGTCTTACAGTGGGAATTGAACCCAGATCTCCCACACCAAAGGCAAGCTTCTTATCTATGCGCTATCACCAACCCCCAAGATAAAATATTCAAATATTGAAAAATTAAAAATGACATGTTCTAAAACATTTATACATACATACATGTTGGCTATGTCTCATACGGGTGCTTATTTACAACCCTAAACTGTTTTAGATTACATGCTGTGAATACTCACTGCATTTAAATCTAAAACCTCACAGAACTGTTGTCAGAAATGGGAAGCTGAAGGACTATAGCCAGGATTTTAGAACTATTAAATGTCATAAGTCCTGCATGCATTTTTTATGGATCAGAAGTATTTTTGAATGCTTTGGTTAGAACAGTGGCAGGCTAACATTTAGAGTATTTGATCATTTCCAGACACATTACTGAAAAAGAAACCAAAGCCCTTATTTTTTCAAAATCGGTGCATGTAAGTGAAGAAACCAGGCTCCTTAAGGGTGACACATATTTTTGTTATGTTACCATTTTCCTTTAACAGCTTCTCCCAAAATACATTGGCATGGACTCAAAGTCCTCAGTGGTAGCTATGGCCTTGATGGACGTAATTTAAGAAAGGACCCCTCATGGTCTGCATAATGGGAAGTTATAGTACATTGTATTATGTGGAGACATGCCAACTTTCAATTAATTATACAATTGTTGAAGCCATTTCTCTGATCACTTAGACTATTGTAGGTTAGTTAGTGTGTTTAGCCAGCAAATCAATCACCCTGTAAACATTTGCACAGCAGTATGGAAATAGCCTGCTACAGCGTGACAGGTGTGCTGCACTGAGATAAAGAAAGTATTTTCTGAAAAACTTGTTTTGGTATTTGTATTTCCTCCTGTTTCATGATTCCACATTTGTGTATCTTATGTAATTGTTTTTTTGTTAGGGACAACACCTTTGTGCCTAACACAGACAGACATTAAATGGCACAACAAAATCCAGTTTTAACTTCTTTTAGACATTGTTGACATTGATATTTGTGTAGTGTGTGGTTTGGCATTTTAGTTAAATACAAATAAGGTTTAATACGACACAAATCAGTCTCTCTTCTGCCTGTCTTTAGTCATTTCTGATAAACAAGAAAAAGGGGGGCTGCTGCTGACGAAATGTATGATGGGAGATGTAGTTCTGAAGAGAGACACACCAAACCACATACCGAAGGAACAGAATTCAACTCCCATGAAACCTTCCCCCGCAAGCTTGGCAACTAGTCTTCAACCAATCAGTTGTCAGAATTCATGCGGCACCGCCCCAAAATGCCCACCGACTACTCTTATTGGCCAACCTGTTCTGTCAATCAAATGTTTACCCTCAAGTCTTTACCTTTACCGTTTCTTCCTTGGGACTAACGTTACTGGTCAGTGCTGTCAAGGCGTCCCGTAGGAGAAGACCTGCACCAAAGAATGTGGATAAAGTGAGTATTTGACAGTGACACTTTTTTGTTTGTTGCTCCACAGTGAATGGTTTGTGTGCAGGAATGTTGTTTTCGTCGCGGTTGTGTTGTACTTTACTGCTGTCTTTGTTAACGGGCAGCTTGAAAGCCTTGACACGAAAGGAAGGCATGGAGAGATTGAATGGAGCTAAATGACAAGTTGCGTATTTGCACATATTTATTCATTATGACTAAAAGTCATTAACCATAATCCAGCGTCAGTTCATTATCGTTGGCAAAAGTTATAAATGGCAATAACCCTTTAATTGCCAGATTATGATGGCTTGTAACATCAGTAAGGATTTTTTCTTCCAAATTGGTAACAGACCAGATGTCATAAATCCCACTGTTATTGGCTTTTTGAGGCTAATACCGATGTTGATATTTATATTAACAAATACATATATTGGCCGATATATTTTTTTTCTTACATAAACGCATAACGGTTTGATAAAAATCACTTAAATTTTGTCAGCCATCAGTCTGAGATTTTTCCTTATCATTCATACCATGTTAGCTATTACCTTTTGATATCAAAGTGATAGCAATGTATTAGGCCATTGTGGGCATTAAATAAATGATAATGACTTCTTTGAAGCAATGTTGGACTATTAGGACTTTTTACATCATTGATTAGTCAGGTATTTAATTTGGTGAATTATGTCCTGTCTGGTTATTTTATCCATAAACAGTTTCTCATGTGAAAATGTACTTTGTAAGTTACGATGAAAATACTCATATACTTATGTGCATAAATATATACATACAGATGTACATACAGGACTTATACATATTGCTGCTTTTACTGATCAGACAATTTGCAGTTGAAAAATAAACTAGGCTAGTGCTCCCTGGTATACACAGCATGTCATTGCAATTTGCAACACTATTTCTAAATTACAGCAAACACATTTTTTACATTTTTGTACTTCAATGTCTTGTTATTTAGCAGATGACTTAAATATATGAGGCAAATATGAGGTAATAGTATCACAAGGCCGATTTATCAGTCAGGCTCTAATTCCTGCAATGCTGTCTGATACTGAATGACATTATAGGTGCATGCCCACCCAAGGTTCCCCATTAGAATAACATTAAAAAGATTGTTAAAGGTTGTTTTGATGCTGTGATGTAAACATTTATGTTATTTGCTGTGTAGCCTGTTATAAGACAGTGCAAACGTTAGTCCTACATCAAATGATGGAAGTGCAGGACCAGGAGTCTCTGGGGAGATGGGTCGGGCTGGGCAGCCGGGATACCATCTCCAGAACTGAAGCCATGGAGAACATCCGCCAGGAGGTCATGAGGAAAGCAGAGGCCATCGGACCCATACCATCATCGGCCCTGTCACCCTCAGCCTCTGGAAGCCCTCCCAACAGTGACCTGAATGATATCCTGACTCACCTTCTCATGCTGTCCAAACGGTGTCCCTTTGAAGATGTCAGGGAGCGATGCATTCGGCTTCTGCAGGCCGTCCAGGTAGGAGATTCATACAGCTTATAATGAGACCCTGGTAGGCTTTTTGTTCTTTGCACTAAGCTGCACCAGGCTGTCATATGTCCTCCCATACTAGTGCTTATGGTATTGTTCTGCTGCCAGCTGCTCCTCTCTTCACCTCATTCATTGTGGCTGAATCAGAGTCATCAAGACTCAATGTGTGTTTTGTCATGGATGACATTCTTTGACACGATGAGACACCATAAACTCAACATTTAAACACTACAAGAGCCAAGGATTTTCCAATCCAACACTTCAACCACATGCATACACAAAAAAGAGCGAGTGAAGAATTAGCAGAAGCAGTTTTAGTGGTACAGATCTTCTCAATAAATTATACTGTAATGTTTAGAGGACACACATTTTGACAGACAAAAATTCTGCTTTCATCTTTAAGACATGATGACTTTACTTGTCGGTGAAGGTGAGTGAAAGAAAAGTAATACTGTCAACAGGGGCTCATTGTGCATTGGGAAAATTGGGGTGAAAAACTTGTTTGTTTATAAAAAGCCCATTGCAGTTTAATTAAAAATATCTGCAATAATTACTTGATTATTAGTCAAACTATAACCTAATTTAATCTGCCATCACCGAAATGCACATGGTTAGGGTTTTTGAAAGGCTGCTATACAAAAAGGTATTTCTTTGCCTTATATCATAAATTTCACATTTCATTTAGCTGATGTTCGAATGCCTTACAATTAATATAACAGCAGGATAAACTTACTTACTTAATCACCTTAATTGCCAGCAATCAGCAGTAAGTAGTTTAACAGTTTCTCCATCCTGAACTCAGACTAAATTAGTACATGTGATGCTCCAACTGTGATTATACAATATACATTGTGAATAACTAATAATAATTAGGTTAGATTGGGAACAGTTGGAACAGTTAATATGGATTGTCACAATTGTCATGCAGTATTTAACATTTATTTAAAGTAGCTGTATAGTACCTGTATTCATGTTATTCATGTTATTCATTTAAATTCTGTTAATATTTTGGATGATTTATGTTGGTTTTGGATTTATTATATTTTATCAGTCAAAACTGTCATTATTTACTTGCAGAGAACAAAATACTGGTTATTGGCTCAAGCATGGTGTTAACTGCGACCTGTTCCACTTAGTGAGTCCTCTAATAACAAACAAAACTAAGCCGGACATCTTTCGATGGTCTGCATGTTGTTAGTCTGAGGAAATAAACTGTTTGGCAGTGGCATTAATTCTTGTTTGTGTGGAAGTGTTTTTGGAAGATGGAGAAGAGGGGCAGAGGCAGATGAGAGAGAGAGAAAGCTGCTTTGTGGATTTACCATTGCACCACAGTACACACAGTCTGGTATTTCTGAATTATGCTAAGCTCCATTTGCTGTGGGCTTGCCAAAGGTTGCATCTATGAGCCCAATGTGGCAGCCCATGTCAATCTGGTCCCACGGCTGGGGACTCCCCTTGACCAATACACACACTCACACCTTTCTCATGTTGTCAGGGATGGAAGGGCATAAGAGAGGGGGGCTCAGGCTCAGACAGACCTCTAATTCCACTCATATCCGCTGATTAAAGACAAAATCTTCTGAAGCACAGACAGTCTTTCCTCATGGCAACCCCCTCTCCTAAAGAACAGGAAAGCCTCCTGCTTGGTGAGAATAATATCTTCTAATACCCTCATGGCTTGCAATAATTTGGCCTGGGCAATCATTTTCTACTTTGTTGCCCTATTGTGTATATTCATAGTATATTTTGTACATTTCATCAACTGTGAAAGTATGTCCAATAATAATTTTAAAAAGGAATAATTATGTCCATGTCCATGAGAAGAGTGTGGCATGAAAAAATCCAATTCCAGGCACTCATGAGGATGGTTAAAAATAGAAAGCCTTTAATAATATGTGCTGGTACATTAAAACATATGCCAATGCATTTAAGCACACTTCCACAAACTTAAAGCAATAGTGTGACATATTGGGAAATACACTTATTCCCTTTCTTGCTGAGAGTTAGAAAGAAGAGCGATACCACTGTCATAACTGTCCATTATAAAGCTACAGCTAGCAGCAAGTTAGCTTAGCATAAGACTGTAAACTGCTAGCCTGACTCTCTCTGAATGTAACCAAATCAGCCTACCACCACCTCTATAACATGTTTCTTTATTAAGGTGTTTAATCAGTTTTTAAAAAGTGAAAAAAAACACCTGTTCTGTTTGAAACTATTTCCTGGCCGGTAGCACAATTACTTCCTGATGTGTCCGCTGTTGCCTGGAAAACCTTTGGTGACAACACATCAGGACAGTGTTGTGAAATTTAACACTTAACAAGAGCTAGCTCAAAGTTCACAGATGAAGTAGTTCACTTTCACAGTTAAAAACTTTGAGTTCACGGTCCCAAAAAACAAAGTAATTCATGCTTATTTCTTTTTTTTTTTCATTACAAAATGTTTCAGTTGCATGGAACTTTGTGGCTGTTGCCTGCAGTGTGGCGTCTTTCCCCTGACCGGTAGCTCTGTCTTGCTGCTGTCTTGCTGCTGTTTCTGCGTCTCCCTCGCTTAGAGACAACTTTCCCCTTGCGAGTGTCTCATTGCTCCAGGATGCTTCCCATTGAAGTGGCTGTGAGATGCAGTTCATTGGAGGTGGTGAAGTAAACATTTTTGTGGGTTTGTAGTGAGATTTTTGCCTGATTAAGAATGTTTTTTCAGTTAGTTTTACATGAAGACCAGCGCACTTTTCTCATCCAAATGAATTCTGCGTCTTTCAAATGGTCTGAAGTGGATACTACTATATCAGCAGAGCAATAACATAGGCTAATGTAGAGTGGGAACAGATTAGGCCCATAGGGCAGATTTAAAAGAGGAGGGAAGACCAAATCAAATCATGTCTACATGTGTGTTGACTCGTAAGGGATAATATTAAATGAGAATGGTTGATCTACACGAGAATACATATTTGAAAACAATACAGAATACCTAAAGCTGATGATACACAGGGCTACTTTTTAAGCAATCGTGCAGGGCAACATTGCCGTCAGTGGTAATGAGTAAAGATTACTACCGTAATCTCCTTTCCCCACTACTCTGCCACCCGCCCCGCCCCGCCGCTATCCGTTCAAAACATCGTCAGACTTCCCAGCAACATTGCTCAAAAAGTTGCCCCGTGTATCATCAGCTTTAGAGCCTTACTGCATTATATTCCATTATATTTGGAATTTTTAAAAAGGTACTTTAATGTCACCTGCCGCCTGAATTTTGTGTTTCCCTTTACACAAAAAAAGACATTTCTACTGTAAACTGATGCAGAAGGTGGCACAGAAATATTCACCAGAATTCAGGAAATGAAGTTTTTAACGCTCAAACCTTTATGGGGGTGGACCTCCAGACCCCCCACTTAATATGTGTCCACTCAGATGTTGAAACGAAACTTACGCCCTAGATGTGCACAAAGAGGTTGTTGGGTTCCTATAACCCGTCCTTGTCTGCTAGGGTGAGCATATGAGGGTCAAAATCACAATCCAATGCAATCCTGTGCCTGTGGTCAAGATACACACACACTGTCAGGGGGTCGTCCTGGGGCTTGTCAAGGCGGCTGACCTCGCTGAGTACTAATGCATAGAGGAGCACAGGATAACGATGGGTTAAGACTGCTACTACATGCAAATCAAGAGTCGAGTCTATGAAAGGGGTGGGCAGACTCCATCGTCCCGCTCTCTCTCTCCGGTCACCATGTTCCCTCGCTGGATGAAAGGAGCCCAGTCTTGGGCGGCTGGACAGAGACAGAGAGGGGTTTCTTTGTGTTATGTAATTACACCATTGTGTTAGCCCTCTACCCTAACTTGAATTAAGAGCTGCTCTCGAAAGATCGACCTATTCTTGTGATTCAGGCTGGTGCTACTCAAATTCTTTGTCCACATCTACAGCCTACAGGGATGAAATGATGTAAATAATACAGTAAAAAAAATACAGTAAATACCAAATGGGCTTTGTGTCTCTTTGAATTTGATTCATTCCAGTTCTGAGTACATACGGCCAACTGACTACGGTCTAGTACATTTTAGGTCTGATGTGCATTCGAATGTTCCAGAATAAAATGCGTAGTTGTAGCCAATACAGGAATTCAGCATCTTACTTTGTTAGTACTGCAGCTTGTTCCACAACCAAGCCTTTCTTTTTCTAGTGTCCTAACGCACAATTCAGCATTGTACAGAAGTGCATAGCTCCAGTTTGTTATATTGTCATAACATGCGAGTCACAGAGCTGAGCATCTGTTTTTTTGAAAGACAAATCCTTGACAATGTTTCAAAACCCCAGACAGTTGTTTAACAAGGTTTACTGCAGTTTTGGAGGTATTTACATAATCCTCGAACACTCCTTTGTCCATAAGAATAAAAACCAGTTACCTGTTTTTATCTGAGGAAGGCAAAGGCTTTTGATGTTTCACTGCTTCTCATTTTTAACACATACTTATTTAGCTATATGTGGACATTCAGGATGACTCAGCAGCCCCTGTAATAAACACTTGTGTGTGATTAATTAAGTGAAATGGCTTCCTGGATCTGACCTCCTCCAAGAATAACCCAGAACAGATTTCTGTCTCCACATGGAAAGCGTGGGAGCATCTTCAGGCCCTGATGCTATGACATCAGATATTGATCACATTGCTTTTTAGTATGGGTTTTAAAGGGTGTGCACTGCCTATAAAACTGTGTGTCAAGACTAAAATATGTATGGTTGGACAATTACTGTCATAAAGGGCAGTGTATATATACATATATGACGCTCTAGGAACAAGTATAGCCTTCTTGCTGTGAAATCCTTATTTGGCCTCAAGTTGGTGTTGCATGTTCTTGGAAAGCAGATCGTCTATATAAGCTTGCCTCAAAAGTGGCATGCTTGTGATGAGGCTACACAAACAAACTTGCTTTGTCAACCTTGACAGACAGGAGTGTGGACAGATGCAATATTGCTTTTCTGAGAAGGCAGAGTCAAAGTCCACT